TTTGTGATTTGGACGATCATTTAGTAGACGAAGCTCCGAATTGCCTTCCTTCGAGATCGACCCGAGTCGGGTAACTCGGTTATCCCTTGCCCATCAATTCTATACTAAACACTACGCCGGCGGCAAGAAACCAACCATCGGTTGCGTCGGCTCTCGCCTGTCGCCACTAAGACGTTGCCTCCACGTCCCGCCACTCCCGTCGCCGGCGAGAATGGAGCAGAAAACCTGAATTTTGAATTTGGGAGTTTGGACCTCATTATGAGAATTTTGATAGGGTTAAGGGACTTAATAGAAATTTTGAAAAGTTTACATTATTACAATTTAATATATGGGTTGCATTGGTAATTTACTAAAAAACGTATTTATTGCACAATATCGTTAAATGCATTGCACATTATTATTTAGTGTATTACACATTACCGATGAGCGGATTGCACAAGAATGTTTAGTGATATAAATTGTCGGAATAATTTATTGTTTATATTAAAAATATGTTTAATATCTTAATAATTTATTTATTATTTTTATATTTTTTTTTTGAAAAAATAAATGTGTTTGGTTGGTTTTATTCTTTATTTGTGTGATCTTATAGTCGTGATAAACTGCAGGGTGTTATTAGATAAAGTGCAACGCATTGTTTTATTAAATGCAACGTTTTAATGTATAAAGTGCACTGATTTAATTTTGGTATGTTAGCGTGTTTGTGTTTTATGTGGACAAATAATGTGATGGATGTTAAAATATTATGTAGATACAACTTTTAGATTCATGTTGCGTGGTACTTTGTGAATTATTAACGTCAGTTGTGGGGTTTAGTAATAAAATGTAGCTCGTCGTTTTATAAAATGCAACATGTTTGTCTTATAAAGTGCAATGCGTCGGGTTATAAAGTGCACCATGTTGTATTATAAAGTGCACTACATTTTTTTATATACGCATACAAACTAAAATCAAACCCATATAACTGAGTCATTAACTAATAAATTTAAAAGCCTAATAACTACTTTATTATTTATATTATAAAAATATTTAGTATTTTTATATTTTTTATGTAATACTTTATAATATTTTTGGTTGAGAACATAAATGAAATTAACCTTA